CAGGAGCCAGCGCATTTCTTTTGATTCGGGATTAGCTTAAAAAAGATCAACATCCCTGACAATCAGAAAACAGAACTACCTCGTAGAAGAAAACAGGTAAGCGCTAGATTCAAATCCCTACCCAAAGCCCAAAAGCTATTTTGTATTCGCTAGAGAGTCCAAAAATCATATACAATTTTAAACAAAATGCCGCGCATCAAACCTATCATCAACATTAAAAAAAAAGTAAAAGGGAAAAAAAAAACAATCCAAAAAAAAAAAAAAAATTGAACTCTAAAGTAAGGAGACGCGAACAACAAGCTCATGAAAGAAAAATATATATATATTGATCTTAACAATGGGAGGAAGAAACCTTTGAGTAGAGCAACGAAACTTCATAAAGCTAAATACACAAAAGCTTTGAGCCCTTTCAATGAAATCGCTGCAACAGTTATAGGTAGAAATAATTCATCGCCAAACGCTGTCCTCGTCAAAAAGACAAACCAAGCCATACATTCAAGATTTCATAAACCTGACTCTCAAATCCAAGTGTTTCATTTTTTTTCTCTTTTTTATTTTTAGAGGAGCCGTCAGTTTGTCTATCATCGTATACTTCTCTTTCCCGAATAAATTTCTCTTCTGGATTATATAAACGATCAGAAGAAGAAAGAAACCGGAAAAGACGGACATACGACAAAAATAACAAACAAAAGAAAAAATAAGGAGAACCTACGTAAAATAAACCTCGCAATAATAGATCAAGAAGCACGTCCGCCCAAACAAGATCAGGCAGAAGCATCTTGGACTAGTATTCGCAAGAGAATGATTACGTAGACTACTCATAACAAAACATTTTGGTGTAGATGTTTGCTTTAAGGTCAATAGCACTGTCAAAGGAACGCATCATACTTGGTTAATTACACCTTATGGGATACCTAATAGACTCAATAATTTTTTTGCTTTTTATGATCGTAGACTTGGAGAATAGGTCATCAAAAAAAGGTTATTCCGTGTGGGAACGCTCTGATGCTTGAAAGTTCTAGCTAAGTAATCGAACAGAGAGTGAGTCTCTCATATCCCAGGTGGGTAGTAGCTCATCGACACATGGGGCCCACAGAATAAGCATGAAAATCTTGATGAGGATATCTCTATATGTCAAAGCAAGTCGAAACCGTAAGGGCAGAGGACAAATCATCGTATCAAACATGTGAAAGTTCATCTGTAATCCAACTGCCGAGATGATATCGACGAAGTCGAATGTACGACAAGGCTCAAAGGGGCTTAACAAAAGATAGGGAAAAATAATCCTAAAAAGATATATGTAGTTGAGTCAGGGTATCACAGACCCGTCATCCTAAACTACAAAGACCCTAAGTCTACCCGATCGTGAAGATAATCGACACAACATGCTCGGAGATCCTTGGTCAGCAATCAATGAATTGTATCGTCAACGGGGGACCTCGATAGCCCTAAGATCAAAGAAAAGAAACTTTTATCATATGACTATAAAGTGAAGCTCCAAGAAGTAGAACTTATTCACGTCGAAGTGGTAAGAATGTCTCAGGAAAAAAGAGAAAAATGAGATTCAGCTGCAAAGATAAAAATGCTCCAAATAAAATGACTTACACCCAGTCTAGGTCGAGAAACTTTCTACACCCAAGGCGCACTAAATAATCTCCAATATATAAAAAGAAATACTAGACCAGTTGGGTTAGAGAAGCACGGGCTTCTCCTCGGAACATGCAAATGATGTAATTATCTAGAGCAATCATTAGATATTGTGGAGACCCTATTAAATTACTTGGGTTAAGCCCATGCAATGCAGTGCGTTTAAAATCCGGTCGGAAGGCCATGAAAGAAAATAAAGTATAATTTTCAAAATTTTGAATGTTTTAATCCTAAAAATTCATTATCTTGAATATTTTATTAGGACTTTATAGAAATGAACAAGGAAAATATTTTATGCATTCAAGCATGTAAAAAAGCAGAGAAACAAACTAAATAAAATATGTAAAAGGCCAATGTCGCTGAGTCGGCAAATATCCTATAAATTAAAAAAACGGTCAGACTCTGTATATATATGTTTGTTCATAATTTTATGTATCAATATAGAATGCAGAATTAAGATACATGACACGAACATATGCTCATTATCACGTCACATGGTTCCCGAGTCAAATATCTTAGAACTCGTGTTTATATCTTATTTTTATTAAATGACTCTCCTATAACTCTAAAAGTACAAAAGAAAAGAAAAAGACTCAACCTACACAAAAAATAGCGTTAGCATGAAAAAACATGCAACGCATAATAAGCAGTGTCTAATGAGGGAGCTAAGCAGCACCTACAAGCAAAGGGTTAGTAGAAATAATTACATGCCCCCCCCCCTTTCAAAAGTATTTGTGTGTGCATATATATATGCACGGTTTCATGCAGAAGAACGTCCTAATGCACTACCATGTATATCAAACATGCAGCATACCAAAAACACAAAGCAGGAAAGATGATTGGTTGGGGCAACCAAACCAACAAAGAACAATAGTCAGACATCAAAAGACTACCTAGCATCTTAAATCCTAGTGTAGCACACTATCTAATGAAAAGTGTTCTAACCAGCATCTAAATACACAGAGTTAATTATTCGGCTGTCGTATGACTTTGAACTTTTACGGGGTTGTTCACCCCCCCCCCCCGTCTTAAATATTTAAAGAAACTAAAGCACGTCACAAAAATGAGTGATATTTTTAAAATAAGTGGTCTCACATATGGTCCAACTTAAATAGTTTTAAAAGTAGGTGGATAATAGTAATAATATTGAAAATATTCATTTTATAATTTTAAAATAATGAACCATAAAATGCAGATCCGTGACAAATATAACGCACTTTAGAACCCTTGGATCCTTAGCACAGTTATACATACTTATTGCTCTTGATACAAAAACTTGCATTGCTCGCGGAGGTATCCTCACGAGCAACGCTCGTTTTAATTTCACGATCAACAAATGGATCACTCTCCTAATAAAAAGGACAAGTCATCGAGACATATGAGCAAACATACAGTCGTGCAAAAAACCTACATTGTGATTGTTTGATCGAAGTTCAAAATAATCACAATGAGCACCAAAAAAAGGGAAAAACACGCATCATGCAAGATGAAATGATGTAACACACAATAGGTGGGAGTATGCCTTGAAAGCAGTGACTCAAAAATGTGAGCACACCGTGGAGACAGCGGCCCGATAGATGGGAGTGTCGTCGAGGCAATGACCCGAAAAAGTGAGCGTGTCGTGAAGGCAGAGGTCTGAATGATGGATGTGTTGTGGAGGCAAAGACCCGAAAGGGTGGACGTGTCGTTGAGGCAACGACCCGACAGAGTGGTGTGTTGTGAAAGTAGTGACCTGAAATGGTGGGCATGTCGATGTAGGCATGTCGTGGAGATAGAGGCCCGAATGATGGGCATGTCGTGGAGGCAGTGACTAGAAATGGTAGACATATCGTATAGGCGGGGGCCTAACAAATGGATATTTCGTGGAGTGAGGGACCCAAGAATGGGCGTGTCGTGAAGACAACGACCCGACATATTAGTATATCGAGGAGGCAATGACCTGAGGACGGTCATGTCGTGAAATCAGTGACTCAACGTATGAGTATTTCGAGGTAACAATGACCCAAAAAAAGTTGGCATGTTGTGAAGACAGTGGCCCGACAGATGGGAATGCCAAGGAGGCAGTGACTCGGAGATGGGCATGTCATGGAGGCAGCGACCCAACAGATAGGTATGCCGAGAAGGCTGCAACTCGGCAAATGGGTGTGTCGAGGAGGTGGTGACTTAGAAATGGGCATATCATGAAGGCAGCGATCAGATAAATGAGTATGCGGAAGATGCAGTAACAAGGGGGTGGGCATGTCGTGAAGGCAACGAAACGACAGATGAGTATGTCGCGGAGGCAGTGACGTGTCACATGCAAAGCATACAAAGGCAGTAAACATTAATGCACATAAATATTGTGTTCGGTCGCCTAGGGTATAGGATGTCACTGTGAAGAACTACACCTTACCCCAATAACAACCAAATACACATGCAAGCAAACATGCAATATGATGCAAAAGCATATAAGCATGTGAGTAGTTGATCGACCTGGCCATGGTGGTCGGTACGACCAAAGAAACGGGGGATCAAGCTGGGCTAATCGCCGAACCCAAAAGAGTGGGTGATCGGCTCTGGGCAGCCTACCGAACCCAAAGGATGGGGTGTTTGGCCCATGACGAACATTCAAACCCAAAGCTGGTGATCTGCATGTGGCGGTCGATCAAGCTCAGATGATAGTATGATGGGCCCTAGATGATCGGGGATCGAGTTAGAATGACCAATCGACCAGAAGTGCTCACGTAGACATGCACATAATGCAACAAATAGCCACATGCAAAGATGCAACAAGATGATCCATGCAGATGTAATGAAACCCAAAACGTTCGACGAAACATCAAACTTGGCCTAATAGTCTCACATAGGTACCAAGAGTTGACGCTCTTGGAAGCGTGGCACAGCCACATCTGTGCTTTGGTGTGAGAAATGTGGAGGATCTTGCCCTCCGATTTTTCATAGGGGAAGCCTTTAATCATTCATATGGCGGATTTGCAACAGAGTTTTTTTTCGTCTTAAGAACGTCTGAGATCTCGCAAGATAGGTTAGCTATAGAGTTTTTTCCATCCCTCGAGATCAAACTCAACCAACTCCTCCAAGGAAGGTTGAGAGAGTCAAAACCGTGGAAAATTAGGATTCTGACTCCTTTGGAATTTATTTCTAAGGTTCACAAAAGAGAATCACTCGGCTTAATAGGAATGACCACGCATGAATTCCTAGCCTAATGATAGCTCTAGAAAATCAATGGGGTGCAGCCGCACCGACTAATGTCAGCAGGTACACTCACCCCGCGTGGGCGACTAAACCCACGCACCTAGCCTCAACTGAACCTAGAGCTGGCTGAAAGAAAATGCAATGAGTTCGGAGATTCTCACCAACGCAAAGTTTGCTCGATGCCCAACAAAGTCCGGAAGAAGCTCTCTTCGAAATGGGAGAGAACTTCCACTCTTTTCACGCCGTGAGACCCTTGGTGTCCGTCGATGGCGAGGACTCCGGCGAAGTTTCTGACCACAAGCGAGCGAGGGCCGACGAGGTGCTTCGGTGGAGAGCCTGTAGAAAAATGCAGGGGAGAGGGAGCGAGCTCTGCCCTAGGTACAGCAGTGGAACGCCGGAGGGAGGTTCACACGTCGAAGGAGGCTTAGCCGTCGGGGGCTGCGGTCACGAGCAACCCAAGGAGGGATCCGGGATGCCGCTGAGAGTTCGCGCCAGAGAAGGCTAAGGCCGGCGGGTGCTGGACGCCGGCGACGAGGGAGGCCGGCGACGAGGGAGGCCGGCGGCGAGGACCTAAGAACCGCGAGCAAACGGCCGAGACGGTGAAGAGGCCAAAATCTCCCCTCGAAATCCCTCGGGTAGGAGCTCCGGCAGCGGGGAGAACGACGGCAGTCGAGCGTTCGCCGGCGAGCTTCGAGCGCGAGAGGGCATCCAGCGAGGGCGGTGCGGCGGGAGCTAGGGCGATCTTGTGAGGGAGGCGGGCGTGAGTGTTTTGAAGGTTATTTTTTTCCTTTTATTTATTTTTTTTATATAACTTAAACGCACTAATTTATGAATTACCGGTTGGTGTTCAAAATCCAAACAACGCAGGCGTCCTCCTAAAATAAAATCGACATTTCAGACACGTGTTTGTTTTCTCAACTGAGGTTGTCCGAACAAATTCATCCACGATCGAGTCAATTCCAGTCAGTTTCATGCATGACATGGTGATTACGATTTGTTGCCCTGTTCAAAATCGTCCGACAAACAGAATGTTGACAGTCTTTCGTCTGAGGGACGACCATGATCAAGCAAAAAGATCGCGATAACTTGCTCGTCAACATGCGTTGAAGGGTCACAAATAAATGTCTCGCACCACGAGAATCAATGTGTGCATCAAGCAATTTTTCATAGCGCTCGAGCGGACACCCTACACTCAAGACATCAAAAATTTATGCCAATATCGATAATGAGGAAAATACATAGATTGTTTTCAGCAGAACAACACTAATACGTTTTTTCACTTATCATGTTTTATCATCTTTATGACGTAAAGTTTATTGTAAACTAAATTTATTATATTAAATAAAGATTTATGGGATTTGATAAATTCTTAAATCTATGTTTATTCAAACACCACCACAATTATTCTCGAAAAGAACGATCAAAGTTTAGATGTCCACTAGTCCCACTGCATCTGAAAGTCAATTTTGGGGTTAAGGGTTTAAGGGAAATAAAATATTCATGTGAAATAAAAATAAATATAATTAGATTTGTAAAAGGAAAGAAATTTATCGTTCATAACCGGATAATAAGATGATTAACGTTTATAATATGACCAAACAATCTAAGACGACTCACTATAATTTTGTTTGACGATAGAGCTGCACCGACCCTACCATGGATGGTCATTTCACATTTTGTCTCAGTGTCATGCCATTCATCCACCTAAACATTCTCATCTCAGCAATAGTTACTTTTGTCATGGAACATTGCAGTTCTCACCCTCATCTTATAAAATTTCCCTTTTAAGTCTAAATGGCACTTTTCTATCACATAATAAGCCCCGTTGTTTTCCTCCACGTCAACCAGACAACTTGAACTCTACTAATAACCTCACCATCACTTTGAATAATAGGCCCAAGATTTTTAAAATGTTCACACCTTTTAATGATTTGATCACTCATAGTTATAACATTTTCACTATAACGACTAGGGCTAAAATTACATTCTATAAAATAATGTCACAAGAGAGAACAAAAAACAAGAAAGGCACAGGAATCTTTACTCATGATAATGGCACAATTTTCAAGGTAAAGCTGCACTTCTCGAATTCAAATCACAGGAAGGAGCATAACTTAAATAATAAGGAAGTTCTTAAACTTCAACTAAGTATAAAACTGTCAGCCCAAAGGTAAATAGGAGTCAGTGCATTCTTTTGATTCAGGATTAGTAAGAGATGATCAACATCCCTTAACAATCAACCAGCTTTTATAAAAAAATAGGTATGCGCTGGATTCAAATCCCTGCCCAAAGCCCCAAATACTACTTCATATTCACTAGAGAGTTCAAAACTCCAAATATTTTAATCAAAATGAAGCACATCAAACCTATCATCAACATTAAGTAAGCGTAAAAAGAGGAAAAAATAACATTTTGACAAAAATTGAACTCTAAATTAAGGAGACGCGAAGAACAAGCTCATGAAAGACCACAAAATGTATGTCAATCCTAGCAATGGAAGGAAAAAACATCTGAGCAGAGCAACGAAACTTCATAAAACAAAACTTAAAAAAACTTGAGCCCTTTCAATGAAATTGTTGCAGCAACTATAAGTAGAAATAATTGATCTCTCAATACTGTCCCTGTAAAAAAGACTAACCAACCCATAAATCCAAGATTTCAGAAACCTCGACTCTCAAATCCAACAACAAAGAAAATAGTGTCCGATAATTTTTCACAAAATAATAGACTGTTTTCAGAAGAAACAAAAATTAATACAGTCATTTTCTTATCATGTTATATCATGTTTACGACATAAGTTTAAATTTAGAAAACTTGGTTGCAAGTTAAATTGACTATACTATTGTGCGCGAGTTTTTTCATTCACAAATTCAATATGATGGATTAGGATTTATGGGAGCCAAACACCGCCTAAATTATTTTCGAAGAGAGCGATCAAAAGTTCGGATGTCAGCTAGTCCCACTACGTTCAAAAGTCAAATTTGGGGTTAAGGGTTTAAGTGAAAGAAAATATTCAAGTAAAATAAAAATAAATATAATTATAATTTTAAGAAGAAAGAAATTTATGGTCCGTAAAGTTCGTGTTTGACTCATTAAAATATTCATATTCAATTTTTTAGAAAAATATGCATGCACTATATTCTTAGCTTGAATTTCTAAATGAGTCAAACAAGAATGAATTTTTATTTGACTGCTTTCAAAATTTTTTTATTGGAATTAATTAAATAATATATAAAGCATATATTTAGAAAAATTGGGTGATATATTTGGAAATGTTCCTAATAAAATAATATATTTGGAAATGTGGGCGAAATTTGGAGCCTCATGCGCATCGGGCTATGTATACTCCATCCTCTAACCAAGGTTACCCAACCCGCGCCGCAACACACAAACCCGATTCGATTATTATTACTCACCGACGGTCGAGATCGAGAGCTCGAATCCCCTCTACCCACACTCACGGCGACGCAGCTATCGGAGGGGAAGTTCCCGGCCAGAAGTCCGGCGGCGTACCAACTTCTCGACACCTTCAAACGTCTCCAAACGGATTCAAAATTAGAAACTGAAGTTGGTTGTCATGGCGAGTTCAATTCTTCTGCGCAGGAGACTATTCTATTCTGCCCATCATCTTCACCACCATGGTCTGTCCAAAACCCTGCTTTCCGTATCTCCAATGATATATTTCTTGTTCATCGAAACGAAAATAGTGAAGGAACGAGTAATTGTTCGTCTATTTACTGGTAGGGGGAAATTGAATGGAAAAATAGCATTTCTTTTTTGTTTGGCATGGTGGAACAACCAATCAATTGAAGTATGATGACAAACTAGAATGTTATCAGTAGTTCAGCTCTTTTCACCTTTTAAATCAGATTAATCGGAGATTTATCAGGAGAAATATGAATATTTATAATTTCTTTATATAATCACAACCTAATAAATATAAATTTCATGTTGCTGTTGTTGTTTTCATTCCATTCAGTATTTTGGCTTGTTTGGCTCCCTCTTGGCACTTTAAAAAAATCTAACCAGTCCTTTGTTTTTTTTTTTGGCTTTCGCCCTTTAGCTACTCGGGTTCGTTTTTTTAGAATTTTCAGGTCAACTTGGTGTAATTATCATGCATATACATGCTTTTTAGGAAATTTAAAGCTTTCTTTGTTTTACTTATCCGGGCTAAAACAATCTTTTTTATTCCACTGAAAAAGTCCATCTAAATGCAATAAACGATATTTCTTTTTTTTTTTTGACACAATTATTAGTCAAACTGATGTGTGCCAGAAAATTCACAGCGGTAGAGTAACAAATTATCATCTTAGCGTTGTACGAAAGTTCAGCACACACACAGATGAAATAAAGCGGTGATGACTCTAGAAGTTTTTACGTGGAAAACCCGTTAGGGAAAAACAACAGGGTCTGATCCAGCTGCGCAAATTCACTATTAATTGATGATTACAGAAATCCCTTGTCTCACAGACGGAAAATGATAACTATATTTTTCAGAATCCATTGTCGACTGAAGGTGTCTAGTTGGTGGAGGTTGATGACGGTAGGTGAAGGTTGACGACGGTCGACGGTGGTCGACGACGGTCGGCGGTGGTCGTTTGAGGTCGACGGTGGTCGTCGACGGTCGGCGGTGGTCGTCGACGGAGGTCGGGGGTGGAGGTCAGCGGTGGTCGACGACGATTGGTGGTGATGCTGAGCTGCAGATTCTCCTCAATACCTCAGGCTCTCTCTGGACTTCCTCCTCATTCATGAGAGGGATGGGGCTCTATTTATAGTGTTTTGGGTGCAATTAATGCATGAATATTAACTATTTTGATCGGACGGTTCGAAGAGCTTCCCTCGATCATACGGAGTTTAATGGACATTTGAGTGTCTTAATGATGTCAGAATTGAATGATCTTGGGCTCGTTGGATTTGTCTACCACCGCTAATTAGATGTCTTTATAATCATCAATTTATAGTGAATTTTTATGACTGGGTCAGACCTAGTGGTTCTTCCACGTAAAAACTTCTGGTGTCATCACAAGTTGATTCTCTTTCATCTGAGTGTGTGTTGAATCCTCGTGCAACATTAAGACGATAATCTATTACTCTACCGCCACGAATTTTCTAGCACACATCAACTCTTATTCCTAATAAAAATCATCCCAACTATATATCTAACCACGAACCTATCTTCTTGCACAACATGTTTAAAGGTATGGATAAAGTTCTTGCAAAATATCTCAAAAAAGTGTGCTTGATATCACTGTTCTCCAGCTCAATCTACTTTTATGGAAGGTAGAGATATTTCTTGACAACATAGCTCTAGCTCAAGAAAGCTTTTGACTATGGCAATAGGCATTTAATTCTCACTAAATTATCTTAAAAAGACCCATTCAAAACTTTATTAGATGGATCTCTGCTAGTATTATGGATGTGCCTTCCTCTTTGTTGCTTAATGGGGAAATTTGTGATTTCGTCAAATCATTCTCGTGCTTGCAGCAAGTTTCTCCCTAATGTCCCTACCTCTGTGTTCTTATTTTGGATGTATTTTGTTGCCTTTAAGAAGCCAAGATCTTATAAAAATATATCTTAATATGATTATGCTTCCCTGTCTCTTATTTACTGACAGTCTGCTCGCTATTGGAAGGGTTAATCTCATTACAGTTATCACTCTGAAAAAGAAATTGCTTATTTTAGTCTATCTATGGGATTGGAGGTCAATCTGTTTAAATTCGAGATGTGCTTTTTCAATTAGGCTACAAGTTTAGAGGAGCTGGCTGATATTTTATGACTCAAAATGGAAATTCTTCTCCATACTTCAGGCTACTTTTAGTGATGGAAATATCTTCGCAAAGAGCCACATTTTATTGTTTGCAAAACTTAATAATTGGCTTGTTGGCATATAATAACAATAATATTGTTGTTTGGTTGGAGGCATAAGTATCTTTCATTAGAGGGAAGATTTTGATTGATCCATGGTTCTATTGGTCTCAAACTGCTCAGAGGCTATCTCTATTGTGAAAATGGATAAAACTTTAAAAGACAAGTTGGCTAATGAAAAATAAACTTAACTATCATGTTGACAAAAGGCTCTCTTTTTCATGCATAGATATATGACACTAAAATATTATAAAAAAAATATTGAACTTTTGGTATTTATATTTTAAATATAAAAGTATAGGTGTTAAATATGTGAATACATCATTTAAATATGTTATGTATTTACATATCTAACACAAAATTTTATAGTTACATGTATGACAGTCAAATCTTTAACATCTCACCAAAAAAATGTCATAATTACTTACTTTCTAAGAGAGAAATACACTTTTCATGCATAGTTTTGCGATGTTGTTTTTAGTGCATGAAAAATGACATGGCATTTACATACATTATGCATTTACATATCTAACACCTAAACTTTGACATTTACATGCATGACACTCGAATGAGTCAAATCTTTAACATCAAACCAAAAATATCACAGTTATTAACTTTTTAAATGTGAAATACGGATTATGCATAGGTTTTTGATATTAAAATGTTATAAGAATTAATATCAAACTTCCTAGATTAGATATTTACATATATTGTGGTATGTGTAAATTTTCTCCCTTTTCTTTAACTTTACATTATCATTCACAGATCTATCACTCTTGTATACGAGGCATGTGAGGGCACATGCCATCCTTTCCTCACCTCCTCACATAAACTAAAATTGACATTTGTAGGCTCAATTAACTTTTTATTGGGTAACAAATATTACCAACATAATAATAATAATAATATTCCAGAAAAGATATATGAAAGCAGCATTGTCTTTCTTCAGTCAGAAGCATACGTATCTGTGTAATTTGTAAGTCGCCGCATATTCTGTGCCTTTAACATCAACTTCTGAACCCTCGACTTCGCAGCATCCAAATTCTTCCTTCCAAGTGCTTCCATCAGCATAGCACTTGAATGACTCCTAGGAATGAAACCTTTTAATATCATTTCCTCATAAAATATGCATGCATGTTCCACCTTCCCTGTCCTACACAACCCACGCACCAGAAGCGTGTAGGTTCCAAGGTCCAGGCTGATATCCCTCTTAAACATGCGACCCAACAAATACAAAAGAACTCTCATCCATTTTCTTCTACATGAAAGCTTAAGTAAGGGAGTATAGGTCATTATATCTGGCTTGCATGAGCTTTCTTCCATTCTCACCAGGAGTTTCAGGGCCTGCTCCTCCTGAGAATGATTACAGGCAGCTGAAATTAAGGTATTGAAAGTTTTCACATTTGGAAAAATTTCACTTTTTTGCATCTCCTCATATAAATTATAGGCTTCTCTTAACTGACCTGCTCTAGCCAACGTGTAAATCAAAGAGTTGTAAACTGAAGCATCAGGCAGACAACCATCACTCTTCATCCTAGCGAGAACCGAAAAAGCTGCTTGAGTTTCCTTCACCTTTCCATAAGAATGCATTATGATGGTATAGGTTATGACATTAGGCTGGCATCCCTGAGCTCTCATCTCATCAACAACAGCTTCAGCTTTCTGAAAATCTCTTTCCAAACAGTAAGCTTCAATCAAACTGGTATACGTAATCACACAAGGCGCAAAACCGAATGCTTTCATTTCCTCCAAAGTCTGCCAAGCTTCTTCAAATTTCCTTGCTTTGCACCATCCATGAATCAATATATTAAAACTGGTAGCGTTAGGAGCTATATCTGTTCTTAGATCCAAAAAGGCGTATTTAGCACGGATAACACTCCTCTCCTTGCACAAAGAATCCAACAGAATGTTCATAGCCACTGTGTCCTTGCTAACACCAAATCTTTCCATGCCATGAAAGGCTCTTATGGCTTCCTTCCATCTAGCAGCTCCAGCTAGCCTTCTCATGACCTTCATCATCGTCGATAACGTTATTAATCCTCCGAGTCGACTCATTTCTTCAACCAAGCTCCACATTATGTCAAATTTCTTTGACTTGCCCAATATGTCAACCATCAAATCATAGGAGTCAGGCGAGTGGTTATATCCCATTTGAGATTCGGCCCACCTGAAGAAACCCAAGGAAGGAATCCATTCATTGCCAAACCTTTTCAATATCCTGTCTACCAACTCCTTTGAGACCTTTGGAGAGTAATTGCTCAGAATCATGAAAACTTCCTCCGGAGAACTGTGGCTTACCTTCAGAACATTGCTGATTTGTTCCACATCAACATCAAAAGCTTCAGAAGTTTCATTCCCAATAAAACCCTCGCGTTTCCTGACCTTTCCACTGCCAGACCCACCTTCCAAAATCTCCAATTGTGTGGGAAGCAAGAAATCATCTTCCGAATCCAAGTCACAAGCTTGCTCGCCCTCCCCAAACCTAAACCAATCAGGCAGCTCTGCTGAATAAACCACGTTAGAAAAGTCACAGTAGAGATTACAGAGCGCTGCAATCTTTGGAGGAGAGAATTTAAAAATTAGAGGTGAAGCCAAGCTTTGATGATAACGAGCAATCTTTAGCAAGACCCGCATTTTAAATCCAGTCAAAAGACTCGAGAGGTAAAGAAAGTATTTGTAACGGGCATTTCATCAAGCACCTGGTTTGCTCTACTCAGAATAGCTTTTTTAAGATTTAGCGGCTAGATACTGGAAGCTGGAGGAGTCATGCTACGCTTGCAGTTTTAACTAAGTTCCGTAAGTCTTACCAACGCATCTTGTTCTCCGCACGCCCCTGGATGAGCTTCCGTCGTCACATGCTGGCTTCTGCGTCGTCCGGGGTATTCGGAATTTCTGGGGGAACACTGTGTTTGGGTACATTAATTAAAAATTAAAACTTTAAACTAAGATTAGCTATTAATATGAATTAAGGAAAACAGTAATTTAATTAGATAATTAAATTACAAAAAGGGGTTTGTTTATTTAAATTCTTATAAGTAATTAGTTTAATTTTAATAACTAATAGTAATTTATGTATAATACAAGTAGCTCTTACTTTTTTAATATCATAAATTAAACTGTTTTTTTAAATCTCTCATCATTTTAAAATTAATATTATTAAATTTTTTTATTATCTCTTATTTATTATTTTTAAAGTCATGTTTATTTAGTTTTATTTAATTATTTATAATTTATATTAGGAAGATTTAGGTACATATGACCCAATTCTTATGTATTTACATATTTAACGCCTAAATTTTAATTTTTGTAATTTTACTTTACTTATGCATAAAAAATATGTATTCCACCTTTTGATATTGATTTAAAAGATTTGGGTTGTATAAATATAAAAAATAAAGTTAGGAGTGTTGAATATAAAAATACATAAAATTTAGGTGATATATACATATATGTAAAGGTATGAAAATTTACATCAAACAATACATGCTATTTATATTCTTACAAATTGAATGAAAACCCATTTTAAATATAAAATTATTTAAGAAATATTATTATTTGAATAAAACCAAATTCACTTTAAAACTCATTATATTAATAGTTTCATCAAGCATAAACGCTTTTTTTTTGTAATTAATGAATTTCATTATGGTTAAAGGGTGGAGTACTATAAGTTGAGCTTAGTACATCAATTTATTAATGCAAATTAATCCAAACACGTGTAAAGGCAAAGTTGTTATCAACATATGACACATTTCCTATGTATTTACATTTCTCACCCCTAATTTTTTTTAATCTACACATATAACACTCAAAATTTTAATATCACATCAATTTATTAATGTTAAGTTTGTTTTCATCCATCAAGTTTGGTAGTAAGCCTCTACTTAAATAAGTAAACATGTCATTCCTCATTTGATGCTTGACTCATCTGACTCATCTGATCAGTGGATTGGTATATATAGTTGTTCGACTTCTTGCCTTGCAAAAATTCTCTAAACAACCCGTTTAAATGTGCAAATTGATTATTTTTTTTTTAATCTAAAATTTATAGAAGATTTATTTACATACAAACCACTCAATTCTTATGTATTTACATATCTAACACGTAACACTCAATTTTTTTTTGTTACATGCCACAAGGTGGCAGAAGCAAAACTTACAGCGAAGAGGCCAAATCATAAATCAAGAGCTGACGAGCATTCATGTAAAAAATGTTCACTATTTAAAATCTTATGAGTAATATTAAATTATTATTAATTATTTAATTTTAGTTGAGGTAAATGTTTATATGATATTATATGATATTAAATAGTTTAGTTAAAAATTAGAAATGGCAAGTGCCTCTCGCAACCACCGTCTATGAAAGCACACGAACATGACATGACGTGATGATACGTGGACACGACATAATTAAAAAAATAGGACATAGTACGAACATTTTTTGAAATTTAATTAATTATTTATATCAAAAATATATTTTTTCATTAATATTTATTAAAAAAATCGCAACAAAAATTATATAATAAAAATATTCAACTTCATTAGTTTAATTTATATTATAAAATATCATGCTTATGAAAATTAATTTTTAAAGTTAGATTAATATGTTTTAAAAAAAATCCATTCTGACTTATCTATCAAAATTTAAAAAATTTGTATGATTGTAACGACAAAATGACTAATGCTCTACTTCTGCAAATCTTGGATATACCTTCGATGCTCGATTTTGACAAATGTTAAAGAGAGTTTTAACATGATGGTAAATGACATGTTTTCGACTATGAGGTATGTATTTATAGTTTTTTAGTTCTTGTGTCTCATTTTATTATAATTGTGTTAAGCTCACGTTCGATAAGGTGTTGGTGTGTGTCTCGGACATGTTCGAGCCTAAGAAAATTCGTACATATACTTTATAGTGCTGAATAAGTGCCGATATTTGATATGGATCCGACGTAGGTACATAGATTTTTAAAAGTGTGAGTTCTATACAAGCCACCGCTAGTTTCACCAATGAATCAATGATGCATCCATGCCTATGCATAAAAAGGTGTATTTCACACTAAAAAAATGTTAATTGTAACTTTGATTTAATATGAAAAGTTGGTGTGGTTTAAATGTGAAATATAAAATTTAGGTGAGACATGTAAATACATAGAAATTGGGTGGCACGAATGTAAATGCCCCTAAGTTTATTTGAGAAACTTAGTTTCAGTTTTTACCCATTTTGCATGCTGATAATGAACATATACTCTGGCATTCCAACCATTTGGGCTGTCAAAAAAATTTATTGTTTGGAAATAGCTTGTCTTCGACTCGTTAAATGGCTCGTATTCGGCTCATTCTTTAAGTAAACGAGCCAAAAATGAAGAATCGTTTTTTGGCTCGATTTCACATTCAGCTCATTTGGACTAAAACTAATCAAATAACAAAATTTATTTATATTTTTATATTAACTTTTTTTATGCATTAAGAAAATGTTAAATTTTATTATTTTAAAATTATTCTTTTCTCGGTATAATTATTTTTAAATCATATTTTTAAATTATGATTTAAATCTAGATTTATTAAATTTGATTCTGAGACAAATTTATTTATTTTTTCATCACTTATTAGATTTGATGAATTTATATTTATCGGATTTGATAATATTGTTTAATGTAAATCTAAATCCGAGCAAAACACTGCCTAAATTTTATCATATAGCACTCAATTTTTAATGTATTTATTTATCTCACACCCATATTTTGATTTTTTACATCTAAGACTTCCTAATTATGTAAATAGTGTAATTCATATTTTCATACATTTTTTCTTATATAAAAGAAAAGTTTTTTAAATTAAAATTTTGATGTGAGAAAAATAAATTATTTATGTAATTTTTATTTAGATTAGATTCTAATTAAATTCTTTCTTGATGCAAACTATAGCCCCAAAAAATGAAGAAATATTTGTGTATGTAAGACGCAGCATATGTCTGGTAGGTTACAGAAAAGGTATTGAGAATATCATATCCGCATTATACCCCTATAATATTCTTATAATCCACCTACAATTTAATTGTAATTAATAAATTTTACCGTTCTATTTTCATAATATATTTCTAAGATATATTTAGTTTACAAGGTTAGAGGAAACGTAGGCAAATATTTCTCCTAACGCCATTTTGAACGCCGCGTGCAGGATGAACATTTAACAGCTAGGAACCCCAATCAGAAGCAGAATGGGGAGGAGGGTGAAGTAGAAAGCCAAGAGAGCGAGCAAGTAGCAACGTTCTAATCGCATCTTTAAGGGCCCGAGGAGAGGGCTCTGTGGTCTCTGCGGAGTTTCCTGCGACCGGAGGATAATTTTCGCTAGGGTTTCGCTTCATACGTACTCTCCAGAAATTTTTCTTTTGTGCTCTTCATATTTTGATTGACATTACTTTTTGATTATCTGAAAATGCATCGGTTTTTATGCATAAAGTGATAAGGCAGAATAAGCGTAGTTTGCTCGCTATTATTCTTATGGCAAGAAGTTCGGGTTCTGGTTCTAGTTGTTAATTAGAAAGGGGGAAGGCTGGGTAACATGTTTGATTAGTAACTTGTATGCATTGTATTTGACTTCTATGTATGATTTAACGCATATTGAACATCTATTCCCATTTATGTTTGACTGGTAACTTGTATGCTTCATTGAAAACCAAAAGACAGGAGTCTGAACCTTTGATTCATTAGCTCCTATTTGCATGTCTTAAGCATCAGGGATGTGACTTTTCCTTTTCTACTCGAATAAAGGGAATTATTTTTTCTCCGGACTCCGGTCTGGACTCCGGACGTAGCTCTACCTCCGGAGTCCTATCAAATATTGTCACGTGTTATTGCGGTCCCGCTGAATTAAAAACATAAAAAAATGGTTGATTTTACGCTTGACTCGGCCTGAATTAGGGTTATTGGGGGGCTATTGCAGGTTATTAAAGCGTTATTGGAGTAGTTGTGTGGTGGGTTATTGAAGGGTTTACCGGGCGGTTATTGGGTGTCTATTTCAAAGGGTATTGCGAGGGGTTATTGGAGAGGTTCAATAGGGTGTTAGTGGAGGTTATTGGGGGATATTCTGGCATTATTGTGGGGGTTCTGCGGGGGTTATGGAGGGGTTATTTGGGGGTTATTGGGGGGTTATTGTGGTGGTTCTACGGGGGTTATTGAGGGTTATTGTAGGGGTTATTGTCGTGGTTTCACTGGGGGTTATTGGAGTAGTTCTATGGGGGTTATTATGGTGTTATTGTGGGGTTATTGGGGAATTATTTAAGGGTTATTGGGGGATTAGTGGTTCTACGGGGCTTATTGGAGTGGTTCTCGTGGGGTTACTTGGGGGTTATTGGGGGGCTATTGTGGGGTTACTGAGAGGTTGTTTTATTAAAATTTTAACGTTTGAAATGCCTGTCTTGCCTGTTGTAAAACGTAAAAGGCGTTGTTTCGATTCCAGACATTCATTTTCAAAAGAAAGGGCTAGGGTTTCGCATTCCTTGGTGAGCTAGGGTTTCCTCTTCGTCCTTCATTTTCTGATAGGGCTTTGCATTGTGTCATTTGAAGCAAGCTTAAAATGGAAGACTCAAACGAGCCGATGAAGACGGAGCTGAAAGAGCAAAAGAAAATGGTGAAGAAAGATTGTAAGAAGGAGAATGAATCGGATAAGAGCCAACAAAACGTATCAAGGTAACTTTGTTTGTTGTTTTTTTAGCCTCAATAAAATCCAAAATAACTCCAAAGTAAGCCCCAAAATTTTGATGTTATTTTAGGGTTTATGGGGGGTTATTCCATTTTTTTTCATGTGTTTTTTTTATTGTGTTATTTTGGCATTTATATAGTGTTATTATGATTCTAGTTATATATGGTCTCATTATGTCTGTATTATGTTAATATAGTGTCATTATATTTTTATTATACTTCTATTCATGTAGGTTTTTGAACCGAAAAACCATGAATTGTAGATGTCGTCCATCTGCAGTTAGATATGTTCTTGATAAGGTTTGGCCTACAATTTCTGAGGAGACATGGAATAATTTAAAAGCAATTAATATGGTTCAGTTTTTTGAACTCCCTCCATATCGTCAAAATCATATCCTAACTATGCACATATTGAATTGTTGGGATATTGATCGAATAGTATTCAATATGGGCGGGAAAGAGCTGAGATTTGATTCAGATCAAGTTGCCTTACTCATAGGCATGCCCAACAGAGGATCACCAGCTAAATGGAATAAAGTTCCCTCCTGTGGCGTGGATGCCAGACAAATAAAAAGTGACCTATTGAAGGTTGCACTAGGGGAGTCTTCTATTCCCTTTGACGATCTATTTCTTAAGTTTTTATTGTCAAATTTATTTTTTCCTTCAAGCAATTTTAGTGTGGCCAAAGGTCTTTACACAATCTGTGAGAATTTACATGATTTTTCTTCATTTAATTGGCCTGCTACAATATGTGAATATCTCATTGAGCAAGTCACTGCCTGTTCCATTAAAATAAAGAAGAACCAACCATTGGGATACATGAATGGTTTTGTTTTTCTTCTGACGGTTAGTGTCATGTACTTCCAATTGAAAAGTTTCCTTATGTATTTTGGTCATATCAAATAGTGATTTATCTATGTTTTACATAGCTCTGGTTTTATGAGCACACATCTTTGGTGGTCCCCATTGCTCCTGAGGCCAGACCTCGCATGTTGAGGTGGCCTATAAGTCTGAGCTGGAACTCATCACATATTCATACCGTCTTTAAGAGGCTAAACCCTACACAAGTGAGTCATTTATCTCATAATCCTTTGAATGTGTTTTTCTGGTTTATGATACTGTTTTGTAGGTATTATTCTGGTTTATGTTGACATTGTTTCTCTAAAATGCTTGCAGATTTTTGATTTTTTTGTGGATTTAAAAGAGGATGAGCATCATTTACTAGCTCTTCCAGTTGAAGGATCATCCAGTCATATGATCAGAATCCCACAACAGGAAACTCACTCCATACCGCATTCGCCCGATTCTTTTGATGTTAATCCTATTGTTCCATATCACATCAGCCCGCAACGAACACATACACATACGGACAATAATATTAGATTAGAAGAAATATATTATATACTTAGAGATCAACAAAAATTTCTTTTTGACTTTCAAGAATCTGTGAATAGCCATTTTACTAATTTAGATAGCAAAATGTTAAAGTTGCAGTCTCAAGTGAATAAATTAGAGAAAGAAAAAAATAAAACTGAAGGTAAATTTGCAATAAAAAAGGTACATGAATCTTCAATTGATAGTTTGATCCAAAGGGTTAAGGTCAGAGTAAATAGAAAAAAGAGGAAATTAAGTACCCCATATACAGTAGTACCACAGAAGAAAAGTAAACCAATAAAGGAAGTGGAGGAGCATTCCAAATGTTCATTAGATGTTTTAATTGCACAGTTTGAAAAATCAGAAAAAATAATGGAGGAGTCTGTTTCACAAGAACCAATAATAACTGACTCACTACAGCCAATTACAAAACAACTCATGACAGATCTTGAAGATATAAATAAAGAGGTTGAGGAGAAAGAACAATACATTACAGAAGCCCAAGATGTAAATACAGAGGAAGAGGAGCAAAATCAAGTTAGGGCAAAGGCTCGAGATGTACATATAGAGGAAGAGGAGCAAAAACTGCTCATTTCAGAACATCAAGATGCAAATAAAGAGCATGAGGAGCAAGACTCAATCCCAGAAAATGAAGATGAATATCTTGATAAGGTATGCAATACAACATACTCTTGATTAGTCTCTTACACCATATGTTGTCATTATATATGAAGAGTTATTGGTTTTCTAGGTGCGTCCGACATCATTAGTGATCGATTTTTTTTGCTAGAGCTCAAGTTCCACCTCACATACTTCTCATTAGTGATCAATTTTCCTATAGTTTATTTGGGCGTTATTATGGGATTATTCCGCTCCCAATAACCCCCTAAACACCGTGGTGTGGGGTCATTATTATGGGGTTATTTGGTTGTTATCTCGGGATTATTTCTACGTTATTGGTTCGGGCCGGGTCTCTCAATTTTTAAATGGTGGAATTCATTTTTTAATTCAGCGGCACTGCAATAACACGTGACAATATTTGATAAGACTCCGTGCGTAGAGCTACGTCTGGAATCCAGACATAAAATTTTTCTAGAATAAAGAGGCTAACAATGTAGATTCAGGATGGGAATAGAGAATGCATATAGTTAATTTTTAGTTGAAGATTCTTTTATGATGAATAAAGTTTTAATGAATTTAGAATACCTTTTTTATCATGAAAAACTCATTGCTAGTGGATGTGGGGATTAGCATTTTTTTCCTTATTAGCATCTTAAATAATTTTCTCTTCAAATCCAGTAGGGAGGCAGGCGAACCTTACCAAATGTAATGTAGGACAAATATCAGGTGAGGCATTGACGTGCTGAGCCAATTGTAGGCGGAAATTTGTACCCAAACCCAAGCTTAAAATTGAGTAAGTTGATCCAAACCTTAATTTGAGTTCACCTAAAGTAAGAGGCTTGATTTTTGTTGGAGTTGGTATTTTTTTCAAAGATGAAATGTTGTTAAATATGAAAACCTTATTTTCTATTTTCATGGAAACCATAATTTCTTTTTTTTCACGGAAACCGTAATTTCCATCAAGAACTTGATTTTATTTTTCAAACTAGCAAGGATAGAAGATGCTGATATTGAAGAAGGTTGAAGTTTAATTGCCTATTTCAAAAAAGAGATTTTTAATTTTTGGAGCCCAATTCTCTCTACAAGATAAATTTATATTTAAAAGAGGTGTTATGGATGATTAAATATTTTAAAGTTTGTTAAAGGTTTGTCATGAATTTGTTAAAAGTTAAAAGTTTGTTAAGGTTTATATTTAAATAGTTATATACATGATTTATTTTGAATTTATATATCTCGAGTCTATAAACAGAGGCCTTTAATGGCTTAATATACTGAATTTATTTTTCTTAGCCATTGAAATTAAGAGGAAAGTTGAGTGCTTTGAAAGAAAATATATAGAGATTGAAGGGTAATAGGAAAACTAGGGGAAGAGAATAATAAGAGAGGCAGACCTCTTCATTTCTAGCCTCGAAGAATCATTTTGATGTTCCGTAAGAGCGGTGTTGGTGTATCATTGCTTCAGTTTAATCCCGCCTTTTTGTTACAAGAGTTCTTGGAAAATTGTGTTTCGTTTAAAGATATGTTAATGCTTTACTTGTTTAGAGTTTGTATGTAACATTGTTTCATTCTAGTTGTCTGAAATTGATAAGTATCTTGGTTCTGATGAGGATGTTTTGGAAGCCTACAAGGCATGTCATAAATAATACATTTCGTTAATGAATAGTTGTTCTTTTGAAGTGTATTGTTTGCAATATGCTATATCTAGTAGAGGGAGCCTGACGTTTTAACAAATTGTTTATTTCTAAAATTAGTCACTCTTCTGCAATTTCATGGTATTCTTTAAAGTATGGATTTGTTTGAATGTTTAACCATGTTATTTTAAAGAGCATTTATATTTTCCTTCATTTTCCAACTAGTTGATAGTTGTAGTATAATATGGCTAAAACTGAGCAATTTAAATTTCTGCATCGTCGCCTTATTATATTTATAATCCATTTTTTGTCGTTTACTTTTTGAATCGTTAACCTTTTTATATCAGTTGAGATATGTTAACTTAGGAAATTTGTTTACTTAATTTTTATTTTGATTTCATTATCTAATCTAACTTCTTTTGTTTAATTTTTGAATCGCTTGGTTTGCGTTTTTTTACAGTTGAAATGTAATTGGAATATGGCAACATAGAAAATTTGATTACTTGGTTTTTATTTTGGTTTTCATGATCTATTAGTAGTTTATAGCATCTGCTACGCTTTATGCCACTTTGAACATTATCCATACATTTATATGATACTTAAACTTCAGCATATCTAATATGTTCATGTAATATTCAAATAACATGGTAATGTATCATTAGTTTTTTTTTTTTTTTATAACTCGTCAGGATTATCAAGAAATGAAAAGATCATTCCCATGGGAAGAAGCAGTCACCATATCATTGATAGACTCTTCAGATTCAGATTCAGATTCTGTGGAAGATAAGCAAGATAGAGCAAAGCGTAACAAGAAGGATTGTTCCTCTGAAAACCTGGAAAATATTACATCAGAGGGTATTATCAAGCCTGATAGATTTTTTTTATTTGTTTCTTGACATTATTTGTTTCTTGACATATTATCAAGCCTAACTCAGGTAATTTTTAGAAAATTATCAGTTTTTTAACATTTACAAATTTATTTGGCTTTAGTCTTGTATGACCAGTATGTGGTCATACTCATAATTAACTTGGTTTCATAAGTTTAATTGAAAATTCAAAATTTGGGAGAGGTTCCATGGAAGCACCGAGGTCTGCCCGTAAAAGGATTCTAGAATGATGAATTCCAGGCTTGTCATCGCCACCTTTTCTAATCAGTCTATACGTTTGGCATGTTAATGTTCTAAGCCTAATCCAGCCGTTGATTTGGTCCACCTCTCGTAATTTTTAGACCTCTATTTTGTTGTTCTATATTGATAAAGATTATTAAAAATTTTATGCTGGATTTTGAAAATTATGGGCACAAAAATGATCTTGCACTTCAAAACCAGATTTTAGCCCCAATAACAAAAATTGAAATGCACAAAAATTGAAATGCACCATTATATATATATATATATTAATCCACCTTTGCTAGCAAAATTTGATTAGCTTTCTGGAAGATAAAGTAGCAATCTGTGTATTGTTGGCGGGGATGCTTACTCTAGTATGGAGCAGTTGTTTTCTGCATTCTTCTTATCTGTCAATTCATGTTAAAATTGTTATATTTTTATTATGTAATGATCAAAATCAGCACATCATTTTCATTGACCTTGAAGTCCTCAACCTTGTGCTAAAGGAAGGTCACTGATATCAACAAAATTTTTATTTATTTACATATCTAATACCTAATCATTCATATTTACATGCACTTCTCAAAATCTTTTAACATCATATCAAAATACCACCATCACACTCCTTTCAAAAGTGAAATGCACCTTTTCATCCAATAGGTTTATGACACGAAGCTGTTATAAGTGTAATATTAAATTCTGAACATAATCATCCTCAAATGTAATGCAGGTACACTGATCCGATTGGCAGGAATGTATCAGGAGCACATGAAACGCATACCCATCCCTACTTTCAGTGGTTCTGTTGTTCCCTTCACATCCTGGCAAGGTTTGGCTAAATCCCTGAAGCAGCTGTATGGACAACCATTGCACTATCTTACAAACACCCTACTGAAACAGTGGGATAGCGAAAGGTTAGGGAGTGATAATGAGCAGCAGCCGCTTGATACCGTAGTACATCCTGTAAAGGCTCAGACCCTCGTCTGGCTGACCGAAGAACTCCACAGGCTCACTGCTTCTCCAATCCATTTAGCCAAACTGTGGGCTTCTGATCCTATGTACCATTCCCACATTGATCCCTTTCTGTCCTACTGATTTCTGTTAATGTTTCAAGGCCGCAGCTTTCTTCAATATCCACTTCCAGTATGTGAGTATGGTTTCTGATGGCTTCATTAGTTTATTAAGAGAGTTATTGTCTTTTTAGTGTGATATGTCATCCCAATCTCATGTTCTTTGAATTTTATTGCTTGAGTAGGATTTAAGCCTTAGATTGCTGAGAAGCTTAGTTTTTGGTGTTGTTGGGCTGTAGAGGAATTAGTGTGGGTAATTGCTATAATTATCTAAAAGTCTGCAAATTGACTTGCCTTTATCTCATAAAATTTGTGTTTTTTTGAGATTAAGCCACTTGGATTTGATTGTTGATTGTCAATTTTGAGATTTATATGTTGATCACTTCTTTCGCTGTTTTATAATAGTGTTGTTTGCATGCATACGTACAACCTGATTCTTATGTGCTTGCATAATGAACTTCTAAATTTTACTTTTTATATTTATATCATTCAAATATTTCATGTCACATAAGAAATATCATTAATTTAACTTTAAAAAAATGAAATATACCTTTTTTTTTTTCTTTTTATGCATTGCTAAGATTATATATATTTAAAGATTAGCCTAAAAAATATGGGAGCATCGGAACTAAATGGTGTGGCTAACAGATTATATTTATCTAAATGATTCAGGTATATTCACAACTTGCATTAAATATGATATTTAAAAACATATCAAACTGGTAAATACAAATCATAACCTTGCTATTAAATCAAAAAGTATATTAGCTACATTAAAATATAACAATCACCTTTTAGGCACCCTAATCAGTTTAAATTATTATATGGAAGTTAAGAAAAAAAATTGATAATGCTTTCTTATACCTATGCCTATGTCAAAATCATAATCATTTGGATGCCTTAGGTGGTAATACTGATGTATGATGATAATAACCAATCAAATACAAAATAATATTTTTATAACTAATTCTCAGATGTGAAAATGGAGGGTTGTGTTTGGTAGTTGATGGTCATTTAAATTTTCGTGTAAATATCATAGCATCCTTTGAAAGCGATGTGTTGTATGACTTAGATACCGTAGAAAGTGTGGAATGACCATTACATCGATATACGGGTGTAATATCAAATAAGTAAGAGTTTTCACATTATGAGTGGTTGCGGGTAAATAAATTGATAATATTTTCTTAAATAGTGTAAGGAAATCCCAGATACGTAAAGGAGAGGGTTGCGTTAAGTAGTCAACAGCCGGCATTAAATTTGTTAAAAATTCATGACATTAATCTTTTAAATCCTTATATAAATTATTAGTCTCTGAAAACGACGTGTTGTATAACCTGAATACAGTAAAAAAATGTGCAAGGTTCGCTCACTGACGCATTGGCGTAGTGTCAAAAAAGTAAAGAGTATCCACATTGCGAATCGATGTGAGTAAAGAAAGTAGTTCATGAAACTAATATTAAGATGTGATGTTGGAATATAGTTACTCTCACATGTAATTTAAAGAAATTAGTTGAAGTATGATTCATAGGAAAATAAATATCTTATGTATTCAAGAAACTATATGGGTTATAAAAAAGGCTAAAGAGATTCATAAGATAGGAGTCGCATTAGAAATGTTGCAGGTGTAATTATAAGTAAGAGTTTGAAAGATAATCTTGTAAAAATTAATATAATTGGAGATTGAATTATAGCCATAAAAATTATTATTATTACTAAGATTTTTAATATTATAAGTTTTTATGCTACTCAAGTAGGTTTAGATATTGATTCAAAAGAAAATTTTTGGAATGACTAATAAAAACTATAATAAATGATACATCTTGAAGAAAGAATTTTTATTTGAGGGGATTTAAAGAGACATGTTGGTAGAGTGGTGGAAGATTTTAGAAATATTCATGATGGTTGCTGTTTTGGGGTGATTGATGAAGAGGGCAGAAACAGTTTAGATTTTGCTTTAAAATATGATTTTTTTATTATTGATATTTTTTTTAAGAAAAAAATTAACATATGATTACTTATAAGAATGGATATAATAAAACACATATTGATTATTTTCTTACAAGAAAAAGAGATCGTCGAGGGTGTAAAGATTGTAAGATCATTCTAAGTGAAACCTTAAGTCCTTTACATCGATTATTAGTTCTAGATTTGAAGATGAAGAGTTGTAAGATAAAAAAAAATACAAAAAATATTATCATAAAATTAGATGAGGCGCTTTATAGATAAATAAAATTATTTTATGAATAAACTTCAAGTTTTCAAGATTTGTGATGTTCATGAAGAAGTGAGTTCTATGTGGGATAAAGTAACAATAACTATTAAACATGTGGTAAAAGATGTACTTAGAGAATCAAAAGAAAAATTTTTTAATAAATAAAATTAGTTGGTAGTAGAATAATAATGTGTAAAAAAAGATAAAATATAAGAATTTGTGTTATAAAAATTGTATAAAATGTAAAAGCTTACAGGACTAGGAAAAATATAAGGTAGTCTGTAGGAAATCTAAGATAACAATTTGTAAGTCTAAAAATTATGCTTTTAGTAATCTTTATAATAGATTAAATACTAAAGAGAGTGAAAAATATATGTATAAAATAGCCAAATGAAGAGAAAAAGGTAAAGATTGACTAAAGTAGAGAAAAAAAAAGTAAAAATTTAATTCAAGTAAAGTGTTTTAAAGATGAAAATCAAAAAGTGATTTTCTTAAAGAAAGATATTCAACATAGGTGGGTGAAATTTCAATAATGTTAAAAATCAAAGAGTGATTTTTAATGAATTTATGAAAATGTGATTGACTTTAGTGGTTTTAATAACGTTAATAATAATTTGCATCAGTAAAAAAAGAACCTAAGGAAGCTTTAAAGCAAATCAATGGTGAAAAATCAGCAGGACCCGACGATATCCCAATTGAACTGTGATCATATTTAGGAGATTTGAGAGTTTCTTGGCTTTCTAATCTCCTTAATGTTATTTTAAAAACTAAAAATATGTTAAGGTGTGGAGCTAGAGTATTTTGGTCCCCATTTTTAAGAAGAAAATGGATGCACAAGAGTGTACAAATTATAAAGGAATTAAGTTGATGTGTCATTACTATAAAAGTATGGGAGAGGGTAATTGAGCATAGGTTAAGATGTATTATGGTCTTAACTAAAAAGATGCCTAAGGAGTGAGGAGGAGTATTTTGATCCCCATTTTTTAGAATAAAGGGGATGCACAAGGATGCACAAGAGTGTGCATAATGCACAAGAGTGTGCATATTATAGAGGAATTAATTTTATGTGTCATACTTTAAAATTATGGAAAGGGCAATTGAACAATGAACATAGGTTAAGATATTGTATAAAAATTTTTCATAATTAGTTTGGATTTATGCTAGGCGGGTCTACTATGGAAGCTATACATTTATTTAAATGTTTGATGGAGAAGTGCAGAGAGAATAAGAATGATTTACATATGATTTTTATTGATTTAGAAAAATTTTACTATAAGGTTACAAGAGAAGTCCTTTAGAGAGTTCTAGAGAAGAAAGATGTTGATATGACTTATATTCAAGTCATTAGAGATGTGTATACTAGAGTTGTTGCTTGAGTTTGAACAGGAGGATTAACCAAGTATTATCCTATTTCAGTTGATTCACATTGAGGAATCAACTTTAATCTCATACCTTTTTTGCATTAGTTATAGATGCTCTTTACTATAAATTTTACAGGAGAATGTACCTTGATGTTATTTTTCGGTGATAATATTCTTCTTGTGGATAAGACTAGAGAAAGAGTTAAGAAAAAACATGAATTTTGGATGTCTACATTGGAGTCTAAAGGCCTTCATTTGAGTGGATCTAAAATTGAATAACTGGAATGTAATGTTAGTAGTTGTAGCTCTAGTGGCATAATTGTAACCATGGGTGATCAAATCATTAAAATGTGTGATTGTTTTAGATATCTCGGGTTTATAATTCAAAGTGATGTTGATATAGATGGGAATGATATTAACAGAATTCAAGTTGGTTGAAGTGGAAGAATGCATCAGACCTATTGTGTGATAGAAAAATACCGCTCAGGCTGAAAGGAAAATTTTATAAGATGGTGGTGAGATCTACAATGCTCTATGGCATAGAATGTTGGCATTTAAAAGAGAAGCATAAAATAAAGTTAAGTGTTTCTGAGACAAGAATGCTTAGGTGGATGAGTGGCTTGTCCCTTAGAGACGAAATATGAAATTAATATATTCGTGATAGGGTTGGTGTAGCTCAAATGGCAGACAAGATAGACTGGTCTTATATGGTTTGGTCGCATTAAACGCTTACCATTTGATGACCTTGTTAGGCATGTAGATGTTTTATATTTGACTTATGTTAAGAAAGACAGAGATAGACCTAAAAATATTTTAGCAAATTATTTAAAAAATGATCTTAATCTTTTAGAATTAAATGAAAATATGTCATTCAATAGGAAACAATAGAGAAAAAAGATTCATGTAGCCCACCCCACTTGGTGGGATAAAGACTTGTTGTTGTTGTTGTTGTAAAAAATGCATTCTTCAAGGGTTTGCTCTAGATGGGTATCCTCCATATACTCAACGAGGGGTGAGCAACTTCTTATATTCAAGAATTGCTCATCCTTCTCCATTATCTACCAAACTCTAAAATGTGGTGCCAAGATCAATTGACTTCTTTTTTTTCAAAAGAAACTTTTTTTTTATTAATGATGCTACACCACTAACCCCTAGTTACTTCACTATCCATGTGCCTAGCTTTTTACTTTGCTCTAATTGAGTGAATGAAAAGGTTTGAGATGAAACCATCTACTGAAAGGCAATATCAACAAATTTTTAGATATAAAGTAGATGAGACTTGATATTAGGTAACATACTTGTGAAGGTTAGCTAGAGTTTATCATTGTATAGAAATGCATGAAACAAATCCATTTATAAAATTTTTACATTGCCATCAAGATTGATGAGGAATTCTTCTTAACAACTCAATAAGAATTTAACTTCGATGCGAAAATAAATTCAATGTCCCCCTCCTCCAACCAATTGCCTTAGATGGAGCATCCTCCAAATGCACATGGGTTGAGTGATTTTTCATCTATGAAATTGCTCATTCCTATCTATTAAACACTTAAATCAACTTATTATTTTATTCATGAAGTAACACTACCAACCCTTAGTTAATTCTTGCTTGTTTTGAGGTTTTGGTAAGATTGTGAAACCTTTTTATAATCAAGCATATGCTTATTTTACATGTAGATTAAAACAAGTTTCTTGTTTATCACAGTAGCTATTCAAGTTTAAATGCTACTTGACGCTATTTATTTATAATTATTTATTGATGTATGTTGCATATTAACCAAATAATTTACATTTTACATAACAAACATATGCAATTCTAAAACAAAAAAATTCCAAAGAAAACAAATCTACTTGTAAAATATTAATTATATTGATGTGAAATCTTTTATTTAATACTAAGAGAATATAAAAACTTTAATTATTTAAATAGTGCACTTGATCATAAGCTAAATCACATATACCATGTACTTGCAAAAAAGAATTTGCCCATTTATGTTTTCATAAGGGTACAAACTTTCCTTTTTAAAGGTTATTGCTTTTAAAGTGGTATTGGCTCAATTATCATACAAGTGATTTGTTCCCTTGTTTCATGACTTGGCTCTCCATATCCATCTTCATATTGGTAGAAGCATTGCGCTGTTCTCGGCATATCTACTAAAGCTTTTTTAAAAGATTCTATAGATCTTGAAATTTTAGCGCGTTCGTTGTTCAATTTTTTCCAATAATTTGTTATTAAACATTTAATATGATCTCGTGCAACTGATTCCAAAACATTATTCTCATTCATATAACACTGAATTGATTTTGGAACATCTCCTCTTTGGATCTCTGCCTGCAAAAAAGGTATAAGTAACATTTCATCATGAGGATACAATTTACACAAAAAAACAATAGTAATACTAAATCTTTACTCAAAAATTAATATTAATTTTTACCGTGGTTGTTCCCAAATCATCATAGAGTCGAAGAAGCAAGCATGAATAACGAACAATAGGTTGATAGAACTCTAGACTATTGAGATCTTCAATAGTCATATCATCATTAAGACAATATGATGCAATTAAGGGACAAATTCCTGCTATTGTTATCCAAGCGTTCTCCAAGTACTCATCTAATGTTGGAGTGTATCGATTATGATACCAATTTGCTTCAACTAAAAATGCTTTGCATAAATCTGTCAACTGGAGTTCAATTTTAACTTATTTAGATTAAAAAAATATATAAATAAACAATCTTAGTAAGTTCAAAATCTTTGTTACAAGAGAAAATTTTATCTTTTTTGAAACTTGAAAAGATATATGCTGATCAAAGAAAATGTTCTATTACCACTCTTTTTAGACATGGAAGAATATCCAACTGCTTTTCCATTGAGAATGAGGAGGCAATACCATTTAATGTATTTAATAGTGCATTAAAACATATCTTCATAAAATCTGGAAGTTGATGAGCTGCATCCATTTTCCATCTACAAATTCCAAGTAAATTTTATTAGTAAATAAAGAACTAGCAAAGCATATACATTTCATTGCATTACGAGCAATGTTTTACAATTGCTTGTTAAACTTTGGTAGCCATAGCTAATTAAAACTACTTTGAGCATGTTAAATTTGTTGTTTGTGTTTCCTTACTCTTCAATAGCCTTTGTAAAGAGCTTCAATTCATCCAAGGTGCCATACACATCATAAATATCATCAATTATTGTTGTGAGACAAATAATCTTGGTTATTGCTTCCCTGCATCTCCAAAATTTAGGTTGATATGCAATGCCTATGGCCCATAAATAATTCTCCACTAGCCTATCTCTGGCAAAATTAAGTTCATCACAAACAAGTCCAAGATTTTTCCACCACCTAAGAATCAAATACAAGGGCATCAATATTTCTTTAAATAGTGATCGAAATAATCACACATATATATGTAAAAAAAAAAATTCAAACCACCTTGACATTTCTTGAAGCTCTGCCTTGTAGATGCTCTGCACCATGTTGAAATCAAGCTTTGCCAACTCGAGCAACGTAGGATTGACATTCTCTCGTCTCCCATACGAATCAATGAACCACCTCGTATCGGCATTCTCCAATGCAAGGGGATCTCCAAGGCATAATTTATATTTTCAGCAAGTTGTGGACTTATTAAATAACTATCAATATATCTTAACTGCTCCTTTGCTAACTTTCCTGACTCATATAGTTCTTCCTCCCCTTCTATGGCAAGGTAGGATGCTTCGTACAAGCTGAGCATTCCTTCGACATCACTTTGATGATTAGGATTGAAGCTTTGTCCATCTCTTTTAATGTTGGTGATTAGAACATCAGCTCTTCCAATTGACCAACAAAATGCATTTTTGTTAGTAGAATAACATTGAATTGGTATCGTACAAAACTAGATAAATTATATACATAT